TCTCTCTCTCTCTCTCTCTCTCTCTCTCTCTCTCTCTCTCTCAATCTCTCAATCTCTCAATCTCTCTCTCCTCTCCTTTTCCTTCTCGCCATTTTTCGCGCGTATGTCTGTGAATCGACAAAATTAATCCCCCAACAATATTACAGCTCGGCGGCGGTGCAAGGGTGAGCGAAGAATTCCAGTACATCGACCCGAAGCCCCTAGCGTCCGCGAGCGTGGCGCAGGTGCACCGGGCCAAGCTCCGCACGGGGGAGGAGGTCGTGCTCAAGGTACCTATGCATACATGGAGCCCAACAACACCCGCCGCAGCACAACCGTAGGACATCGGCAGCGAGCGGCGGACCTTTGGGAAGAAAATAGCCAGGGCAGACAAGACTGCCATGCTGACGGCAATAAACGCAATGGGCGTCTGCCATGTTGCTTCGTTCCGGTCGTCCCGCACTGTTAAGTCTCCAGCGAGAGGCTTTCGGCGTTCGTCCGTACTACGGGTTATGGCTTTCGTACCTACGAAGGGTTACAGCTTTTTTTTCGTACTCAAGGGTTACGACTTTCGTTCGTAGTAAGGGTTTCTAGCAGTACCCAGCAGAGGAAGCAGCGGCGCAGCCGGTGTTTTCGTTGGTAGCTTTGTGTGGAAGTTTTGACTATTTCGCTGATTCGACGAAGGTGAACCTTCCCATTGTTTTTTCATCAGCTAGCTGTTCGTTCCCCCCTCTAACCCCCCCCCCCCCCCTGCTTCACCTTGTCCGATATTGTTTTGACAGGTTCGCAAACCCGGAGTGGAGGGCACTCTTCAGGCAGACCTCGGCTTCCTCTACATTGCTTCAAGGTCGAAAAGATGGGGGCTTTGTGTTTTCTGGGACAACGGGAGGGGGGGGGAGGGAGGGGGCATGTTGCTGGTGCTTCTTTGCAGTTCCTGTCCAGCTCTCCCACGTGTCCTGTCTGCCATTGATTAAAGCAACCTCTTCTTCTTCTTTATCCTCTGCGAGCTGCCCCTTCTGTTGTATTGACCATCAGCAACTAAGCCATGTTGCCTGCATGCCTTGCCTTGCCTGCCAGCTATTTTGAGCATTCGCCTCCGGAAGATAAGGGCTGTCTGAGAACTCTGTCCTTTTTCTCCTTTTCCCTCTTCCCCTTTGTCTTTCCGCTGCTGCTGCTGCTGCTGCTGCTCCTCCTCCTCCTCCTCCCCCCCCAACACCCTCCCTCCCTCTTCTCGGCGTGTCTCATGACGCTAATAAATGAACGCGAAAGGCTGTTGGAGATTTTGCAGCCGGAGCTAGGAAGGACTTCCTTCGCCGCGATCGCGAGCGACATCAGGTGACTTGAAGAAACGCTATTCTACCAACACGCGGCGAGGGGTGGGTCCCGCGTCATGCTCTCTCCCTGTGCACAAACGTATCGCCGAAAACACGCGTTGGTCTCCGTCTTTTGTGTCTCTCTCGTGTTTTTTTCTGTGTGTGTTTGGGGTTAGCATCGATCGCCCTAACCGGCTGACCAATGAAACCACCTCGTCCTCACGGTGGGTGGAAGCAATGGTGATCTGGGACCGACGCCGTGAGAGAGCGTCATGGGAGGGGCTAGGCTATATTATCCAGATGAAAAGATGCCTATCGGTCGACCTTGGGTCTAGTCGCGGGTGTGTGGGGTTTCCAGGTTGTCGCTTGTGTTTCCGGTCCCTCAAATTATTATGGTGACTTGGGTTGTTTCATCTTTTTGGCAGGACGGCTATGCTGGATGAGCTCGACTTCCGCAAGGAAGCGAAGAACATCGAAGACTTCACCGGATTCCTGGGTAGGGCGGGCATCTTGGATGCTGTCGCCCCGAAGGTGTGATTGATTTTTTGTTTGTTTTTCGTTTCGGGAGGAGTTGTTCCGCATGCTCGACCATCTCCACGGACCCTCTTTCTGCCAAAACGAAAATCACTACAAGTGAAAATGCCCGTCTTTGATTGAAAGGCGATGCGATGGCCGCTCAAGGATCATTACTAAATAAAAGACAACCGACGGGTTGCGGAACTTCGGCAATATAGCGTGAATGGGGTAAGGGCGAAATCTTGTTCTCTTGACAGCTCAGGCATATTTGGGCCTCGCATCATACCTAAATACACAAGATTCGCGGGCCGAGAGCATAAAACAAGTTGACTATTTTTACCCATGCCAAACAGAGTTCACCCGCCCCCTCGATTCAAAACAGTAATCAGCCTGTATCTGTGCCAAAGAGAGTTCAACAACAGCAACAACATCGACTGTGGTGAACAAAGGTGTACGAGGATCTCAGCTCGAAGCGGTTGCTGGTGATGGAGCGCCTGAAGGGCGTGGCTCTCACCGACCTCGACGGCATCAAAGACTACAGCAGCAACCCGGAAGCCACCCTCATCACGGCCCTCAACACCTGGAGCATGAGCGTCATGATGGCCGAGAGCTTCCACGCGGTGCGTTCAATTGTGTGGTGATGTAGTTGGTGTTGGTGTTGGTGTTGGTGTTGGTGTTGGTGTTGGTGTTGG